ACGCTGGCACCTGAGACCTTCCAGGGCCTGGTGAAGCTCCATGCCCTCTACCTCTATAAGTGTGGACTGAGTGCTCTGCCCGCAGGCATCTTTGGTGGCCTGCACAGTCTGCAGTACCTCTACTTGCAAGACAACCACATTGAGTACCTCCAAGACGACATCTTTGTGGACCTGGTCAACCTCAGCCACTTGTTTCTCCACGGCAACAAGCTTTGGAGCCTAGGTCAAGGCATTTTCCGGGGCCTGGTGAACCTAGACCGGTTGTTGCTGCATGAGAACCAGCTACGGTGGGTCCACCATAAGGCTTTCCATGACCTCCACAGGCTGACCACCCTCTTCCTCTTCAACAACAGCCTCACTGAGCTGCAGGGTGACTGTCTGATCCCCTTGGTGGCCTTGGAGTTCCTTCGCCTCAATGGTAATGCCTGGGACTGTGGCTGCCGGGCACGTTCCCTGTGGGAATGGCTGCGGAGGTTCCGAGGCTCCAGCTCCACTGTTCCCTGTGCAACCCCTGAGCTGCGGCAAGGCCAGGATCTGAAGCTCCTGAGGGCCGAGGACTTCCGGAACTGCACAGGACCAGCATCTCCACACCAGATCAAGTCACACACGCTTACCACCTCTGACAGGGCTGCCCGCAAGGAGCACCATCCATCCCATGGCACCTCCAGGGACAAGGGCTACCCACATGGCCATCTGCCTGGCTCCAGGTCAGGTTACAAGAAGCCAGGCAAGAACTGCACCAGCCACAGGAACCGAAACCAGGTCTCCAAGATGAGCACTGGGAAGCAGCTTCCTGAACTGCAGAACTATGACCCTGACTACCAGCACAAATTCAGCTTTGATATCATGCCTACCGCACGACCCAAGAGGAAGGGCAAGTGTGCCCGCAGGACCCCCATCCGTGCCCCTAGTGGGGTGCAGCAGGCTTCCTCGGGCGCTTCCCTGGGGGCCTCACTCCTGGCCTGGATCCTGGGGCTGGCAGTCACTCTCCGCTGAGGATGCAGGGCACCATTACCCAGCACTGCCACATGTCCAGCAAGGAACAGAATCTTTTCTTTTCTTTTTTTCTATGTGGAAGATCTGCTGGGTTTCAGGAAAAGGCTGCTAAAGCCTTCAGCCACAGTCTGGACCCTTCCTGGTGAATTATAAGTCCGAAGTGTACAGCTCTAGACAGGAGGGTTGGCACATCTCACCTGGTTGTCCTGGCGCAGCACCTACGGACAGCATCCATTCGGCACAGTGGTCAAAGGCACGCAAAGTGAGTCATCAGTAGTGACAGACACGTGCCCTTTGCAGAAGCTGGGCTCTGTGGAATCCTGGTCATTGGGAAAGAAGGGTCGATGGACCCTGCTGCTTTGGGAAGGAGCAGGACTCAGGACAAGGCTCACCAGCTGGGGCAATCAGCCATCTCAGAGCATTCTGGGCTCTTGCCTGAGGCCACTTAGTCAACCTGCCCAGTCCAACCCTATGCCACCCCCCAGTCCCTACTGGGGGTAATGCCTCTCATTCCTGATGTCTCAGGCAGTCCTGGCAGACCTGCTGGGGTCCAAGAACCAATCACCAAAGGAAAGATGGCCAGAGGATGACATTTAGAACTTCACTCGCAATGAGAGTCACACAGAAGGTGCAGCTTATACCTATGTCCACTTATATATATTCTCACTCCCTACCCACACACCCACACAATATAAATATATATATATATAAATATACAAATGCACAGGCCCCACCCCCACTTCTTACCAAACTGTACGTCTTATCATGTTTATAAACTATACGGGAACCTATATTTGCTCAACTACAGATTGTATTGGTACTTTCTAGCAAGAAAAAAAAACTGTGGTGTTTTTCTTCAGAATCCCAGCTGGCAACAATAGTTCCTGGGCTTGCTGGGGCCAAGGTGTCCGTGGGAAGAGTTGGGGAGGAAGAGAAAGAGCGAGAATCACTTCAGGGGACCAACATTCTTAGATACTTAAGAACATCACCTTGTTTTTATATGCAACACATGCCTGTCTGGCACCCTGAAGCACCCCACTACCCCTACTGTAGAAGCTGCTGGCATTGGGGTGAGATGTGGGAAGTAGCTCATCGGATGTCAGGGTGCTGGAGGCAAGTTAGGTGGAGCAGCTGAAGAGGCTTTGGGGGTCTTCAAGCCAGCAGACGAGGCAGCATCCACAGTGTTAGTCCAATAGGTTGGATGGACAACGTCCTTCTAACGTTTTGCCGGTGATGCTGTGTGCAGGCCAGGGAGGCTCTGAGCTCTGACCTCATGGGAGGCTTAGCTGCCATTTTAACTCATAGGCTCTTTGGCCAGTGCCCTGCTGGGGGCCCTGAATGGTTTGGTAGTGGAGGATAGTGGCCTTAGCAGATGAGGGCATTTCAGGAACCATCTCAGGCACTCTACATTACAGAGATCTTGTTCTTCTTGGTCCTTTTGGTTATACCCCAGGACAGGCAGAGGTCAGAGGACCAGACTTGGGGGTCAGAGCCCAGACAAGCAGTATGCAGGGAACACAGCAGGCACGCTCAGTCAGGGAATAGGGGCTGTTGGCCCAAAGGTCTCCAGCAAGCACAATCTCTTGCGCTTTGCACAAACCTGACTCCCCTACCAGAGAGGCTGTGTGAGGAGTAAGAAATGCTGAATCCAATTAAGAGAGAAAAATAATAATAATAAAAAAAAACTTCTCTTGGACAAGAACCCTGTTTTTCATTTCATAACTCTGAATTCCTGATGGGGTGGCAGATCCTGGGCTTTGGTGGGGTGGGCGAGCCTGGCCAGACTTGACTCTGAGAACACAGCCTGCTTGTTGGCAGGAGGAGCCATAGGGAACAGGGGCACACTGACTCATGGGAACACATAAGAATATGCTCTCTTGTTCTCTCTCTCTCTCTCTCTCTCTCTCTCTCTCTCTCTCTCTCTCTCATACACACACACACACACACACACACACACACACACACACACAGCTCTTCCCTCACCAGCATAGAACAATTCACTTTCCACATGCTGGTTGCCCAGGTCAGTACTATTTCTATGTCTTTCCCCTGCAGAAGGGTCCTAGATCCTTCCAAGCTTCCAAAGAGCCACAGTAGCTGATTCTGGGCATCAGCAGAAAGGCAACAGCCAGTGCTTGAGCCTCAAGCATTTTCCACAAGTCTAGGAATTGACCAGGAGAGCAGAGGGCAAGGGCCTGGAAGCTATGTCTGCCTCTCTGGCATCACAGATGGAGAGCGGAGGGCTGTTTTCAGTCCCAGATTTAGTGCATTCATGGAAGGGGGCCTTGTGCGACAAAACGAACACCGCCACCGAGCCTGATGATTGGCCTGCTCTTACCCAGGCCAATGCCCATGTCCCTTAAAATTCAAGCAAGTTGTTATGCTGTTGATTTCATTTTCAACCCCAGGCAGCAAGGCCCTCAGTGGGAAAATCAAAAGTCTGAGCACTTTATTAAATTTTTAAAAAAAGACTTAGCAAGTCCTATATGGTAGAAGCGATTGTCAGCCGGAAGAACGGTTATGTCTCCTAAAGGCTCTGCCGATGTGTGCCGGCATAATCCCCGTGGCCGAGGCCTTCCAGGCTGGGCAGTGGGGCCCAGGACACTGGGTGTATTTTTAGTAGCTTTCTCCCCCAGGAGGTAGAAGGAATGAAGGCTGTTGCTGATGACATCATTTGTCACTCAGCAGCTCATGTGCTGCACAGTTAGAACGACACCATTGTTCCAAAATCAAAACCAGTTGACTCTAAATGGAGCCTCTCTTCAGCAAGCCCAGTCACGTCCCCCATTCAGGGCAGGGTGCTGTGGAGTCCTTCTCCCTTAAAGGTTTAAGTCACCCCCTCCTATCCCTAGTAAGGAACAGACTAGTTCCTCTGCCAATTTTTTTTTTTCTTTGAGACAAGTCCTTGAACTCACTATGTAGCCAAGGCTGCCCTTGAACTCCTGATCCTCCTGCCTCTATCTCCCAAAGTACCACTCTTGGCTTGATGGACTTTTTCGAAGAGTGTTCTGGTGGCCTAAGGTGATATGTCAGTTGGTAAGGCGCTTGCTGTGCAGGCTTGAGGACCTGAGACCCAGTCTGCAGCGTTCATGTAAGAAGCTCAGCACAGGGGACTCCTGTAACCCCGACACTGGGGACGCAGGGACAGGGTGATCCTTAAGACTTGCCATCCAGGAAACTCTTTAAGTTCCAGGTTCAGTGAGAGACCCTCTCTCAAAAACTCAGATGGAGGGCTGGCAAGATGGCTCAGCGGACAAAGACACTGGCTGTGTGAACTTGACCCGAGTTCTGTCCACAGAATCCACGTAAAAGTGGTTGGAGAGTACCGAATCCACAAAGACCTCCTCTGACCTCTGAGTGCCATAGCACACCCACACTCACACAGCACATAACACGCTAATGGTGATAAGAATAATAAATTAAAAGAAAACTAGGCAGAGAGGGATTGAGGAAGAAACCTCTGGCCTATATACACATGGACAGCATATACATTGCACCCACACACATGCACACATGAACACATCCCTGACATCCCCGTACCCCAAAGCTTTTGTGCCAGTGTATTTTGCATGTTAAGCATATTCCTACCACACACACACACACACACACACACACACACACACACACACACACACACACACGTGCATGCCCCTTTCTTGCCCCTCCTGTCTCTCCTTAGTCCCCTTTGTCTCCTTAGACAATTTTACTTCTACTTTCTTTTTCTACAAATTTTATTTTATTTTTACTTTATGTGCACTGGTGTTTTGCCTGCATGTGTGTCTGTGTGAGGGTGTCAGATCTTGGAGTTACAGACAGTTGTGAACTGCCATGTAGGTGCTGGGAATTGAACCCGGGTCCTCTGGAAGAGCAGCCAGTACTCTTAACTGCTGAGCCATCCATCTCTCTAGCCCCCTACTTTCATATCATACAAACATACATGCATGCATACATACATACATATATGATTTTATAGGCTTATATAATATGTAAAAATACAAATGAAAGAAAATATATATTTGTTTTATTTTAAGATGGATTTTCTTTACTTAATACTATTATTACCAGATGGCCTTCTGTCGTTTTGTTAGTGGTGTTGTTTGTTTTAGACAGGGTCTCATGTAGCCCAGGCTGGTCTCAAGCTAGCTGTGGGGCTGGGGATGACCTTGAACTTCTGATCCTCCTGATTGTACCTCCTGAGTGCTGGGAATACAAGCTTGTACCTCCATGCCTGGGTTATATGGTGCTGGGGTTCAAACTCAGATCCTTGTGCAGGCTAGGCAAGCACTCTAGCAACAGACTTCTGTCCCCAGGAGAGATCATCTCTTTCCTTTATCTCGCCTCCTCCCCAGCAGCCTTCTCTTCTACAGCGACAGAGGACAGAGTCAGCCATGTGGGGACATGGGGTGGTCCCTGGTACCTTCAGACAAGCTTCTTCCATGACCCAAGGGCTTGGATGGTTCTTCATTATTCATTCAACAAACACATGAACCAGCCATTGTCTCTGCATTGGGGACAGCAAAGTGACAAGATAGGATCTCTGAGGCGCTGAGAGGCGCTAGCATTCTCGAGCATTCTGGACCTCTACAGAACTGGAGCCTGTGTTAGCATAGTCTTCCAAAGCAAGAGGCTCAGCTGGGGTAGGAGAGTCAGAGAGGTTGTCCAGGAGGAGACGATGATGTACCAGTCTCTGAAGAAAGAGAAGTACCCAGATAAGAAGGTGGGAGACTGCCAGGCTGAGGGCTGGAGGCACACAGTAGCTCAGCCTTTGAGTTCTCTATAAACAGCTATGAGCTAAGGATGGAATCCTGTCTGCTGGGGTGCTGGGAGACTATTTAAGCAAGAAGAGGGCCCAGGGAGTCCCACTCTGGGCCTCTGACTCTGCTTGGAAGCAGAGGGAATGTGTGGCTCCCCTGCCTGAGCTCTCTTTCACTCCCCAGCCTCATCCTAAGCACATGGGCTCCCATGGCACCCTTACCACAGTTCCTCAACTGTGGATTTCATCATCACCACTTGCCTCTTGTGCTCAGCCAGATCCTTCCCTGTGCCAGCAAACTGGAGTGCTCACTGGAAATCTGCCTGGGCCACAGTCCCATTCCCAGACACCTGCTGCTTCCAAGCTCAGAGTGTCTCCCATACCGTTTAGCATCCACAGACAGTGCTCCAGGCTTTCCCCGCCCTCATGGCATGGCTCCTCCCTCAGCTGGCCAGACACCACAGCTGCAGGGAGCCACAGGCAATCCCAGGATTCGCTCTTCTGAGCTCCACCCCTCCTGCTAGGCATGTGCATTACCAGAGCACCAAGAACTCCACGTGATGTGTGTTGCCTTTCACCTAGCAAATCACCTGGTACTCCCACAGGCAGTGGGGCGCAGGAGCTTGGGAGCAGGTCTGAGGAGGTAGGGGAGCCAGGGAGGCTTCTCTGTGGATCAGGACAGGCTCAAGAGATGAGTGCTAGACACTGAGTCTATTGGGTTAGCCCCGACTGCTTCAGTTCAGACCTCGCTGGGCTGGGAAGGACCTGGCTACTACAGGCCTTGTTTCTCTTCTATGCTGATGTGGAAGAAGCCAGCCTTCCTTTTCTTGAAAAAACTTTTTTCTTCCTCCTCCTCTTTTTCTTCTTTTTCTGATGTGTGTATGTGTGTGCGCAAGGTTGGGCGGGCACATGCCACAGCATGCATGTGGAGGTCATAGAACAACTTTGTGGAGTTTCCTTCATCTTCGGGTTCCAGGGATCGGGTCATCATGTTAGCAAGCATGTTGTTCAACAGCTGAAGGCCCTTTCTTTGTGGGTTTTTTTTTCTCTCTCTCTCTTTCTCTCTTTCTTTTTCTCTCTCTTTTTCTGTGTGTGGGGATGGGAACAGAGTCTTATACAGCTCAGACTGGCCTTAAACTCCTGGTCCTCCTGCCTCTACCTCCCAAGTGCTGGGACTATGAGTGTACACCTTTGTGCCTGGCTATATTTTGGCTTATTCGTTTATTTGTGTTTTTGAGACAGGGTCTCACCATGTAGCCCAGGTTGACTTTGAACTCCTAATCCTCCTACCTTAGCCCCTGAGTGCTAGGATCGCAGGTCTGCACTGCCACATACAGCTTATCTGTATTCCCTTTTCTTTTCCTTCTCTACCTCCCCCTTTTCCCCCACCTTCTATTTTCTGTTGTGATTTTGAAACAAGGTGTTGCTATGCAGCCCAGGCTGGGCTTACACTCATGGTGGTCCTCCTGCCTCAGCTTCCTGGGATAACAGCCCTTTGCCACCACACCTAGCTGGATGTACATTCTTTGATCAAGGAAAGGCAAGTGCACATTTTACTGGGTCCCGTACACCCCTGGGCCTCCTGCCCCAGCTGTGGCCGGACTCCAGCTCATCAACTCGCGCTCTGTCTGCTTCCTTTCTTCACCTTCCCTTTGCAGGAGTTCAAGCCCTCCGCCATTCATTACTCCATGCATGTCACCAATCACCAACTATCAGTTTCTGATGGGCCAATCTTCTTCTCCCTCCGCCTACTTGGAAAATACCTCGAGAACCTTTGATGGGGTGTTAAAATACCCTTTACAATTCTGTGCTCTGTGTCTCCTTCTGCTCTTCTAACTGTCCCTTTTAACTCACTGCACTTCCCATGTAAATCTCCCAGCCTCCCCCCTTACAGGCTGTTAATAAATACGAGCTCTAAAAAAAATACATAAACATCTATTGTTGGCTCAATAACTCACAGTGCAGCCAAAAAGCCAGAAAAGAGGGCTCTTCATGGTGAACGCATGCTCTCCCTCTCTCTCTCTCTCTCTCTCTCTCTCTCTCTCTCTCTCTCTCTCTCTCTCTCTCTCTCTCGCTCTCGCTCTCTCTCTCTCTCGCTCTCTCTCGCTCTCTCTCTCTCCTCTCCTCTCCTCTCCTTCCCTTCCTTCCTTCCCTCTCTCCCTCCTCTCCCCCCTCTACCTCCTTGTCCTCACCTCTTTCAAGAGGGTTTCTGGAACCAGGGTGGTTGGTTTATGGTTCTAAAAGTCCAGTGGGTGCAGAGCCTGAGGTTGCCCCAGAGAAGAAGAAAACAGAATGCAACCGTGGGGCTCACTGACAGGGCTCCCATTTCGTGCAATGAGGTTTGGGGACAAAGGAGATCTAGGGTTGGGAGTGGCAGCTAATTTAAGTGACATTTCAGTGGGCCCCTTACCTCTGCGAGAAGTGGGTCAGCCTCCTCCAACACTCAACGCCAGCCTGCACCGCTGTGGCCCGCCTCCCGTCCCGCTCCTTTCAGCTCTCATTTCTCATTAGAGCCGTTAGTTTCTAAGCACCAGGAGGGTGGAGAAGGCTGTGCCTTTGTGTCACTGGTTTCTGTGTGGCAGTGTGCACATCAATGGCATGCCTGAACGGCAGAATTTGACATTACTGCTGCAGAATGTGCTTGGGTCACGGTGCTTTCCAAATTGGCTAAGGCTCCATGCCACCCCCTGCTCCTTTGCCCAGGCAGCTCGGAGCCCCTGCCAGTCTTGGTTTCTGCTGCTCCCTCTGGGGGGCCTCCGAAAAGAGAGGCAGTGAGACATGTATTAAACTCTTCAATCTCTGTAAGTACCATTTCCTGGGAGAGCTGCTTGGAGGAAGGAAGCGATGGCAGAGCCCAAGACCTAAACATGGAGATGTTGTGTCCCGATGCCTCTGTCACAGCCTCCTGCCGCCATTCTGGGGAGCAGTCATGGACAAGACAATGATGTCTCTGTCCAGCCAGACAACCCAAGGACACAGAAGATGTTCTCAGGGACAGAGGGCTAGCAGAGGAGGGGCACCGGATGAAGGACATACCCACACATCGGCACTTGGAAAGAGAAAGCACAGCTCCATGGGGCAGTTGTGTGGCCAGTAGGAGGCAGACAGACAGGAGGGCTCCAAAGAGAGGCATTTTGCACATGCACACCTGCACACATGCGTGCATGCGCACACACAGACACACAGACACACACACATGCACGCACAGGCATAACATCCTGTCATTGGACCTCATGCAGCCAAGTGTGGGACATTCATGCAACCAACAGCTCTGAGCCCCGATGATGTGCAAAGCCCCAGCCAGGCCATTGGGTGTCTGGGTGAGCAAGGCAGGCCCGCACACTTGGGGTACATTTCTACCAGCGAGGAGGAAGCTGGTAGAAAGCTGAGTTTCCTTTTATTGGATTGTAAGGGTAGTCAACAGGAGAGGGACACGGGGATCGGTCATAGAGGCGTCACTTGGGATGAGTAAAAATGGAGGCTTTGTCTCACTTCCTCACAGGCTGGTGACCCTCTTCAAGGTTTTTTTTTTCTTTGTGATAAGGTGGCAGATCAGGGCTGAGGCCTGAGCCAAGGCGTATCCCTCCTCCAGGGCCGGAGGGGTTTATCTGATGTCCCAGCAGTGGAAAGCTCCTACCTCCACAGGCCTCGAGGTTCTGTGCTCCAGCGGCCGGCTGGGCCACATTGACATTCTCCCCCCGCATGAGGGGGTCACAGGGGTCTCTGAGATGTTTTTATTCTTTATCCAGGTGTCTGAGCCTCAGAGGCGCTGAGGTCCCTGACCTCTCGTCCTGCTTGCCACCAGGAGAGTCTCTCACTGTTTTATCTGAGACATTTAAAGTGTCACCGAGCGTCTGGCACTTTGCTAGTGGAGGGTACATACTTTCAGATGTCCTCACCAGCCTCTTTTACAAGATCGGCCCCACCCCCACTCTGGCTGACTGTGACCAGAGCGAGGGGGGAAAAAAGGCTGAAATCCACCCTGCGTGGTCTTACCTGCACAGAGCAGGGACGGAGTGGAACCTGGGAATTCTGGAAGTTGCTGTGCAGTCTGCCTAGCTGTATACTGCTGGGGTACAGCAGCTATGAGCGCCCACCCTAGGAGCTGCCCGTCAACCCCAACCTTGTCCTGGTGCCCGTCTTCTCTGTCCCCTCTACACCACACTACAGGTGAGGGTCTCTCCACTCTGCCGGACAGGTGACATCCCTCTGTCTCCTGTGTAGTGGGTGTGGAGGGCGAGTCTTACTGAATTCCTCTGACCGTCTTCCTCCCCTCCAACTTCACACGGGGTCCTCACTCTGGCCTCAGTCTCCTCAGGGGCTCTCCCTCTGCCTTATTCCTTCTTTGGCCCTTCTCACTCAGAAATAGCTTCATTTCTCAGAGTTGCTGACCCTCTTCAGACTCGGAGACAGCCTGCAGCCAGGCCACGGCCTTGTCTTCCTGCAGCTCCGTCTTCTTCAACCATTTCCTCTCCAAGAGGCCACTGGCAAGGAAAAATGAGAAGCAACTTGGAGTCGGATAGCGTGTCACGATTTGAAAGACCCTCCCCCTTGTAGATACAACCTGATAACAGGACACCCCCCCCCCCTGCAGTGGGAAGATTTGATTATGCCCCCCCCACACTTGCAGATATAAAGAAGTAGGTCTACCAGTTACTCAGACCCACGTTCCCCTCCTTCCCCAAGTGGACAGTTTTCTACACCCAGACTACCACTACCTGCCCATCTATGTGACCCAGGGTAAGACAGGCATACATTGGGGAACCCAGCGCATCTTCTCATACTCACAGCTTTGGGAACGGAAAAAGTGTTAGATGTCTTGGCAACAGCCCCAAGGTCCCAGGTCTCGATTTCCTTACACATTTTCTTTGCTGCTCTGACCCTCAAACTTCCCCAAATACATCACTAGGACCTCCAACTCAGGTGACAGAAAGAGCTGGCAAGAATTCTCCCCTCTTTCCCACTGAAAGTAGGGGCATGGTGACAGGAAATCCCCAACAGGCCAAGGTTTCTCTCATCTCTGGGTAGCTGAGGCTAGATCATTATTTCTGTGAGACCTTGGATTAATTTCAATAGATATCAAGAGTAGTGAAGAAAGAGAAGACCTGGGCACATTCTTCTTCCTCCAGGACACCACGAGGCGGCCACCATGTAAAATTAAGTAGCGGCAAAGGCCGACTCGGCGTTGATGGTGAGATCTGGGTGTGCCAGGCCCTGGGTCTATACCCAAGCCACAAAAGGAAGAGAAAATGGCTGACCACAGGGCCTGCAAGAACCACTTCAATTAGGTCCATTTCTAGCACTTTCCTCTCCAAGGGTCCAGTTTGTTTGTTTATGTGTGTATAAGCATGAACATGCCACAGCACATGTGTGGAGGTCAGAGGAGAATGTTCGGGAATTGGTTTTCTCCTTCCACCGTGGGGGTTGGGAATTGAACTCAGGTTGTCAAGCATGAACAGCTTCTACCTACTGAGCCGTTTCCTCTGTCTGTCTGTCTCTTTCTTTCAACAGCTCTTTGTGCTTCAAGCTTCTTTTCGTAATCCATTTTGAGTCTCTTTTCAAAGCGTTTGTGAACCCGTGACTGTTCTAGGAATTTTTGTTTTCTTCTCATTGTTTTTCTTCACTTGAGAAATCAGCCAGGTGTGGTAGCATAGGTCTAAGATCTCAGTGCTTGGGAGGCTGGAGTAAGAGGACAGTTGTGAGTTCAAAGCCAGCCTGGGCTCCATTACAAGTTCAAGGCTAGCCTGGGATGCATAGTAAGGACCTGTCTCAAAAACAAAGGAAAGGAAGGAGGAACGAAGGAATGAAGGAAGAGGAGGGGGGAGGAAGAGGAGGGGAGAGGAAGGGAGGGGGAAGGAAGAGGAGTGGGAGGAAGAGGAGGGGGAAGGAAGGGAGGGGGAGGAAGAGGAGGGAGAGGTTTGGCGGAGGCTTGTCAGGCCTGTGCCTTGCTCTAATTTTGACCCCTAGGACTGGGGGAGACTAAAAACTCAGCACCAAAGAGAATTAGGGTGGGGCTAGAGAACTGGCTTAGTTGGCCAAGTGCTTGTCATGTAAGCGTAAGAACACAGGTTTGTATCGTAAGAACACAGGTTTGTAGCGTAAGAACACAGGTTTGTATCGTAAGAACACAGGTGTGTATCGTAAGAACACAGGTTTGTATCGGCAGCACCCGCCCGGGGGAAATGCTGGGCCGTGGGGTCAGAGACAGTTCCCTGGGCAAAGACGCTTGCTACCAAGCCTAGGAATGCACGTTTGATTTGAGTATCCACATAGTGGAAAGAGAGACAACTCCTGAGGGCTGTTCTTTGACCTCCACACATGCCCTGGGGCGTACACACACACACACACACACACACACACACACACACACACACACACACACACACGCATGCACAGATAAATAAATGTAAGAAAGAAAGATGAAAGGAAGGAAGGAAGGAAGCGGGTCATGTGTGGTGGTACACACCTTTGATCCTGGCACTTGGGAGGCAGAGGCAGGCGGATCTCTATGAGTTTGAGGCCAGCCTGCTTGAAGGAAAGAAGGAAGGAAGGAAGGAAGGAAGGAAGGAAGGAAGGAAGGAAGGAAGGAAGGAAGGAAAAGAAAAGCCAGGCAATGGTGAAACATTTGTAACCCCAGTGCTAGGGAGGCAGAAACGGGGTAAGTGGAACTCACGGCCCACCAGTTTAGCCAGTTGGTGAGTTCTAGACTGGGTGGGAGAGCCTGTCTCAAAATTAAGGTGGAGAGATACTGAAGAAGATCCCTGGCACCAACATATCCTCTGCACAGATGTGAGTGAGTACATACACGCACACACAGACACACACACGCACACGCACACGCATGCATATAAACTAAACACAGCTCTGACTGCCCCAGCCTCCCTCATGCTAGGAATACAGGTGAGCATCTTTGCTCTCGGGTCTAGTTTGATTCAGATCTGTCTTCTTCCCTTCTCCCTCACACAATGGGAACTAAGGAGGAGGAGGAGGATTAAAAGATAACCAGAAGGCAGCCGCGGAATCCCAGGCCAGGCCCTCTGCTTCCCAACCATGCTACCATGCAACTGGGGAGTCAAAGCTCCAGCCAGTGCTTTCCAAACGCTCGTCTGAAGACAAGGGGAGCCTGTGATTACGGTTTCTGCTGATTTCCAATGAAACACTAATGCAGTGGGCTTTTCATTAAGCCAGATTTATTCAATCTAAAGATAATCCTTTATTCAGAAAGTGCATCTTTATATGTGGTTGGGGGAAGAGTGATGTTCTAAAAGAATTTCTTTTCTGAACTAATGGCACTGGTACATTGGTGGCTGCGACTTGGGTTCTCTAGTTGGAGGTGTGTGTGTGTGTGTGTGTGTGTGTGTGTGTGTGTGTGTGTTGCCCCTCCAAATTATTTCTGGAATTTTACTCTTTTTTGTTTGTTTGTTTGGTTTTGGTTTTTTGAGACAGGGTTTCTCCGTGTAGAGCAGGCTGGCCTGGAACTCACAGAGCTCCGCCTGCCTCTACCTCCCAAGTGCTGAAATTAAAGGCGTGCACCATTGCCGCCCAGCTGGAATTTTACTTTTGTGGGGTCCCCACGCTCAGTGAATGGTGGTATTGGGGGAGTTTGGCTGTGCAGTTCTGGCCTTTCCCATTCAAAGCGAGGGCTGCTTGCTGGAGTCAGCCCTTACCCCTGGTCTCCTTCCCCTTTTACCTGTCTCCCCGTCATCTGCAGACAATTATCCTCAATAACTAGCCAATTACCCTTGAAGACAATTATACTATTCCACCAGCAAACGCCGATGCTCTTTTCTTGGGTCTTTTAATGAAGTCGATATTAAGGAGATACTTTATTTACATAAAGTCAAATGGCTCTCTTTTAGAAGGGTTTGGGTTCAATGTCAAAGTTTTAAAATCTTAACTAGAGGATGGGTGTAGAGGGCTTTTGGCTAGGGTGGAAAAGAGATGGAGGGACTCACTCTGATGCTACCTTACAAGGTAGGATGCCCAGAAGAGGCGAAAGGATGACGTGGGGCCTCCCTCCTCAAGCTAATGAAATCTGGAAGCAGGGATGATCTAGGCTCTAGCAGTGGAACCATTCAGAAGTGTCTGCCTTTGACTGACCACAGCTCCCGCCCTCCCCTCCCCCAACCTCTCTGGGGACCTGCCAGCGCTAGGAGCTAATCGCTTCAGGGAGCTAGATTGAAATGTGTTGCTCACCCTAGCTGCTCAGAAAACGTTTATCCCAGGCAAGGACTGACTGAGACCAACCGTGACATCTGCCAATCAGGGGGCCAAAGGTGCAGCAGGCAGGGTGGGATCTAGCAGAAACAGCTCCATCACAGCCCTCCCAAGAAAAAGTAGGGGGAAAGGCTACCATTTTTTTTTCTCTTGGCAGATGGGCCCTGTTTCGATGCTTTGGGCCTTACCTGGCCACTGTCTTTGCCCTGGACTTGGCCCAGGCAAAAATGTCAGGGAGATGCAGGTTCTTTCCAAGTTAGAGGGGAAAAAAAACCCAAACCTCAACACAACCTCGAAGTCTGCCCCCGCTGCGTTTCTAAAGAGCTGTTTTCTTCCCAAGCTCTACGGCATGGTGGCTCTAATCGGAAATTTCTTTTTAATCATAGCAGGAGTCCCAATTAGCGTGTTGGGTAATCTTTCAAGTAGAGCGGGAGTTCCATGGCCATAGAGAGCAGAGGCAATATTCTACATAAAGCCCTAGAGAAAGAGGGGAACAGGCGTCATGGGCCTGTGCACACATGTGTGTCAGTGAGCATGTGGTCTCTGGAGGCTGGCTTCCCACTCTCAAGACGAGGTGTGTGCACCCCAAGTCTCTTGATTCTCAATGCTTTATTAGGACCAGAGGGACGGTGGGGGAGGGGGTGCTGCTCACGATGCAGAAACCCCAGCCTGGTCCATCCGGGAACCTACGTGCCAACAAACAGGTTGCACACACATGCCACCACCTCCCCTAAGGGTATGGGTATGAGGGACCAAGTGCCCCGCAAGACAGCAGGCATAGAGTTTGGAGGCTGCCCCTTCGCTTTCCATGAGATGGGCTGTACCCCAGACTCAGCCCCCACCCAGGGCCAGCTCTGATCTGGTACTGCCAGTGACCTACTTTCCTCTGTTGTTGCTTTTGGAAGTGCTGATGTCAATGCAGAATTCAGCAGAGAGGCTGAGTGAGAAAAAAGAGGAGGGGGAGGAGAAGAGGGAGGGAGGGAGAGAGAGAGGAAGAGAGAGAGAGAGAGAGGGATGGGAAAGAACAGGGACAAGACAATGGTGGCAAGGTCCCTGTACATTAACTGTGTGCCTTTACTGGTCCCACAGAACCTGCCCAATATAACTGGGACCCAGTCTGGGTGCTGTGGCTTCAGGCTAAGTAAACAGGGGAGAGCTACATGCAGCCCATCCCCCTTCTTTCTCTCTCCAGCAGGGACAGGAGGAGGTGGTGGCCAAGCAGCCATGCCCGGCTACGCCATCTCGCTATGAGGATCCAGACACTTCAGGCACCTTCCCTGGGTGCCCAGAGGTGCTGTGTCTGCATCCATCCCTCCTCGCTGCCATCTCGGAGAGGCAGCTGGGACCTGGTAGAGGTTCTCCACACATGCTGGCCTGGAGGAAATGGGTCTTTGGGGACACTGAAGGCAGTTTCCTCTCTACAGTGGCTCCTTGGTAACCCATGTGACAGAGCTCTGGTGGCAACCCGACCTGCTCTCAACGCCCATTCTCAGATGCCGCCCAAACTGTAAGGCTTAGGGTGAGGAGAGCCCCAGACTGCAGATGTGAGAGTGGATGGGAGGACCCTCCAGGGAGTCATGGCCTACCCTTCTGAACTCTAACAGGGTCCAGCTTTTCCATTCCACAACCAAGGAGAATTGGACCTGGGAGGAGAGGAACCTTTCATTTCTGACCTATTTGCAGACCTCAGCCGCTGAGCAGCCCCTGCAGGTGAAACTGCCTCTGGGCATCCCTCGGGCTGAGTCCTTCCTTCCTGGGGACACCTGGGCAACAGATCCTTCAAGATGAAACAATGTCAGATCCATGCTTTCATGAAATGGAAGCTCTAGGTCTCATGATTCCATAGATAGTGCATTTCCCTCCCTCTTTCGCACGGGAGTGGGGACAGGTTAGACGCGCCTGCTTGCTCTAGGACCCTCCAGGCCCCAAACAAGCACGGAAATGATTAAAATCATTTTTTCCTGCTCATACAGTCTTCAGATACAGAGGAGCCAAAGCCCCCATATGCTGAAATTAGACCCCGAAAAATAGGTTACCTGACAATTACTTGTATCTAAGTGGAGCGTGATTTAGCGGCGGGAGCTCGGGGTGGGCTGCGAAGGCTGCGCCTTCTTCCCAACTTACTGTCGCTTAACCTCTGGGTTTCTTGCCGGGATGATAATTCTCCCCATCGCCTTCCCTCTGGTGGAAAGCGTAATGAATCAAGGCTTGAAGCACGCTGAAGAGGCCAGGCTCGCGATGCCATGTAAGTACACAGCATCACCAGCCACCTCTCGAGTCTACACGGAGCTGATTTATTTACCTCCCGTGAAAGAGACAACAATCATCATATTTACACTTCATGCCGCAGCTTCCTGTGTTGCGCCGCAGCACCCCTCCCTCTCCATTGCCGAGGACTCCATTAAGCATGCTGCCTTTCCAGTGAAGACAGCAGCCCTCTCCCAGCCTCTCTCTGGCCTTACAGATCAAGACTTTCTGGCCCATCAGTCTGTCACCCGAAAACCACTGTGCTCCGACGGGGGCTGCGGCCTCCCCATGGGGAGGATGAGGAAATGAATTCCATAGGTAAAAGGCTTCCTCGGAAATCAGATGCTGTTAGTAATTAAGAAGCGAAGCAGAGGTGCGTGAAAGGTAAATGGATGTTATTTAAATGTTGCGTCATTTAAAGAGTGTCCTGGTGTTTGAGTTCCTTGTTACCACGCAGGGCTGTGGACGGGTGGCAATTAGGCTGGCACAGGTAGGGCTCACCTGCTGAGCTGGGGAGGGTGGGAACACACCTTCCAGTAATTGCTGCTGGGCAGCTCTGGATCTCCCCCCGCCCCCACTTCTCTCCTGGCACTTGACAGACCTTCTTCTTCCAGCAGCGTTCGGGGCTTGTTGCTCTTACACAGAAAATAATGTTGGAAGGCTTGCAAGAGAAAGGAGGGAAGGAAAAAAAAAAGACTGAAAGGAGAAGGCGTGAAAAGTTCAGGTTAGGTCTGGATCTGCTCCTCAGGCACCGAGCTGGCCGAGAGAGTCCATGACGGCCCACATATATGACCCTGTGGTAACGGGGTCCAGCACAAGAGCTCCTTGAGTGACCACCTGCCAGGAGACAGGATGAATGGATCCCCTGTCCTCAGAGCACAACCCAGGGACTGATTCTCCAATGCTGATGCGTGAGGGAGATGTCAACAGAGGTCCCCTAAAGAATGATGTCTCTATTTCCATGCTAATCCTGGTCTTCACCAGAACAGCAGCTTCAGTCTGAAAAGCAGGATGGGGCTCCCGGAGCTCTGCTGTTCTCCTGGGAGAAAGCAGGGGCTGTGTGTGGGGGCCGCAGAGGGTAGGGTGGGGTCACCCAGCATTGCCACTCCCCCCATGTGGCCCGTTTCCAGACCCCTCCTGGGCTGGTCTTCTGCTCCCAGAACACAGTGTTGGCTCACACTCGCCTCTGAAGGCATACCACTGCTAGCCCAGCCAGCTTATCTCCCCAGCGCTTTTCAAGATCAAAACCCTCAAACTCGTTAACGAAAAACTTCGTTTCGGGAACAATACCCACTAAGGAGCAGAATGTGGTGCCGACTCTCATGAAAGTGTCTTTCTACGCGAAAACTCTCTGCCGATGACAATGGATCCTTGGCAGCTACGGTTCTGAGTGAGATGCCAAAGAAAGCAGGTGACAACAGCCGTGTCCAGGTCAAAGCAGATTAGAGTCACTGCTGGCAGAATCTGGCTGGGAGCTGTGGGCTGCGAGTCTCCTCCCCTCCTGCCACTTTGTAAGGTGGTTTCCGAAAATGTCCTTCCTGTTGGTGCCTTTTCCACACAGGAACTGGATCCTGTGATGGTGAGCCCGTGTTCCCTGATGCTGTTGCTGAGACACCATAAAGGGATAGAAACCCAGCCACTAAGCATGCAATGCGACTGTACCTGACGGGGGGAAGCAAGCCAAGAGCAGGATACATTTGAGAGTAAAGAAGAGTAAGGACTAGGCAATGAGATGGGTATTCTGTCTGGGAGTCAGGGATCCCAATGCCAGCAAGTACAATGGCTCCCCCCTTGTTGACCTAGCCAGAGAGAATTCAAGATGGCAGGACAGGCTGTGTGAGTTCCCTATGGCCATCCAGATAAATGGCCACAAGAAGAGTAAACAAAACAAAAGAAATTCATGCTATTGAGACCAGAAATCTAGATCCAGGTTGTGGCAGGCTTGGTTCCTGGGTGTTCAACCTTTCACATTGTGACATGATGTTGTGGTTTGCAAATGTGTTGGGCTGCATTCATAGCTATCCTGGGACACATTCATGGACCACAGGTTAGACATGCTATTTAAAACCTCCCAGGGAGGGGCTAGAGAGATGGCCCAGCAGTTAAGTGTGCTTATTCATCTTTCAGAGGACCTACGTTCTGTTCCCAGAACCCATGTTGGGTGGCTTACAACTTCCTATGACTCAGCTTCTGAATCCAATGCCCTTCTTCCATGGGTACACACACACACACACACACACACACACACACACACACACACACACACACACACTTTTGTTTTGTTTTTCTGAAGACAGGGTTTCTTTGTGTAGCCTTAGCTGTCCTAGAACTAGTTCTGTAAATCAGGCTGGCCTCAAGCTCACAGAGCTCTGCCTGCTCCTGCCTCCCGAGTGCAGCCATCCAGTGACACACACAATTTAAAGAATGAAATTCTGAGGGATAATCTGCCCTTTCTCCTAGCTCGTGGCATCATTTCAATACCTGTTTATACCTCACCTTCTGTGTGTCCCATCTCCCATTCTATAAGAACACATCAAATGCACAGCACACCCCAAAAATCAAGATGTTTAACATAGTTACATCTGCAAAGACCTATTTTTCCACATAAGGTCACCTCATAGGTTCGAGACATACCTTTGATGGACCTGCCATTCTTCTCACTGGGTGACAAAGTCATCTGGAGATCTACCTCCAGTACAAAGGCTTGCTGTATCTGTTCAGACCTCCACTGAGTTTCCTGCCTGCCCGTGAGAATTTCCCAGTGGTCCTCGGGGGTGCCTATGACTTTGGATCTGCAAAGCCAGGCTCTACTTTCCAAAACCATTTTGCTGTTTCAGAGTGTTCCTCAGCCCTGACTCCCTTTTTTCTGAGGTGGTTTCTAAAGAGGCAGGTCACAGCAGAGCACGGTGCCCACAAGACACCCCAGGGAGGGGACCAAAGGCAAATACTGACCCCATCACTGAGACGGAGAACATCACTTCTCACCTAAAACTGGTGCTTACCAGGACCAAGCAAGGCTTTATAAATGTTTTCCTGCCCTTCTCCCTTTTCATTCTTCTTTTGGGATGTAGCCCAAGCTGGCCTTAAACTCACTATGTAGCTGAGGATGGCTTTTGGCTTCTGATTCTCTTACCTCTATCCAGAGTCCTGGGCCAGGTGTATGCCACCGAACCCCAACTTTATTTGGTGCTAGAAATCAAGCTCCAGACTTCATGCATGCTGGGTAAGTACCCTGCCATAGACTATGTTCGCAGCCTTTTTCTTCCTTTTCTTTGAGACAATGTCTTGCTCTATGGCACATGTTAGCCTCAAACTCACAATCCTCCTACTTCAGTCTCCTAAGTCCTGGGATTATGTTTGTGAGCCATCGTGTCCAGCTTCTAGCCTTTTCTAATGGATGACCATTATAGTCTAAAGCAACCTGTTAAGACAGGTGTGGTGGCATATACCCACTATCCCAGTACTTGGGAGACTAAGGAGGAATTCAAAGCCAGCCTGGGCTATATAGCAAGACACTATCTCTCTCTCTCTCTCTCTCTCTCTCTCTCTCTCTCTCTCTCACACACACACACACACACACACACACACACACACAGAGAGAGAGAGACAGAGAGAGAGAGAGAGACAGAGAGAGAGAGAGAGAGAGAGAGAGAGAGAGAGAGAGAGAGAGAGAATCCACTTTTATATGTCATTGGTTGCTTCTGATCATTAGAAAAACTTTCTCTGTGGCTGAGTCAGATCTGGCCTGGCTGCAGCACTGTCCACCCACTGTCCCAGAGCAATGCCGTCCATTGCTGTCCCAGATTTGCCTTTGGGGGCCCTTGAAATGAAAGTCACCAGCAGGCTCCAGAAGCTGCCTCATGCTAATCAGTGGAGGTTGTGAAAATAGCCCTGCAGTGGTTCATGGCTCTGCAGCTGGGCCAGATCCACCAAGGGGTGCTTTGTCCTTGGGAGCAGAGTTAACAGTCGTCAGTGCCTTTTTTTTTTTTGGAACGTACCCTGTTTTAGGCTCAGTACTGTGTGTTACTTCTAATCCATGTAATAGACTGCAAGGCAGGCAAGGATGCCATCCCTATTTTGCCCTTGGGTAAATTCTGCAGTCAGGCAAATGAAAGGCGTGGGATTCGAACACAGGCTGTCTGGCCAAAGAATTCTCACTCTGCTTCTGCCGACACCACCTCCCTCTCATGCACAGGAGTGGTCTACCTCTTATGCCCAGGGACTAGGACGTGGGGAGAAGATGGGTGTCCTCAAAGCAGGGTGAGGATGAAGTGGAAGCCAGCTTCATATCTAAACTAAGCAATGTTTTATTTCCATTTCCCCGAACATATAGTTCAGTTACACTTGGTTTAAAAAAAAAAAAACTTACACAACTGGTTCTTGAGAAATGTCAAGTATTACATTTCAGTGGACGTGTATGGAACAATCAAAATGTTGAGCATCCCCAAACAGATACAAACCTTCCTCAAAGCCTCTTCCAAAGGCACATTGCTGGGTTTGAAAAGAGCAGCTCGTGTTTCAGCCCCGTTGATTCCTTCCCATGTGAGCTCCAACTTCCAAAGACAGCTTGCCCGGAGGAGAAAATAGAGTAGTCATCCCTCTTATGGGGGGCAGGGTCTGTTTGAAGGCCTCCCACAGGGACTGTGGATGCCGCTTACTTAAGAGTTCTTGCCTCGCAAGCATGAGGCCCTGGGCTCCATATCTCACACCCTAAACAGCACAGGGTGCATGCCTATAATTCTAGTATTTGGGAGGTGGAGGCAGGAGAATCAGAAGTTCAAGGTCAGCCAGGTGATGGCGGCACACGCCTTTAATCCCAGCAGTCGGGGAGGCAGAGACAGGTGGATTTCTGAGTTCAAAGCCAGCCTGGTCTATAGAATGAGTTCCAGGACAGCCAAGGCTACACAGAGAAGCCCTGTCTTGAGAGACAAAACAAACAAAAAAGAAACTACAGAGAGAGAATACAAGGCCATCTTGGACTGCATAAGACTTTGACCCTGAAACAAACAAAAAATAGACCAGGGAAGCCTGGAACTGTAGACAATATTGAGTCCATACATATTATGTTTTCTCACATACATACCTACTTATTATAAAAATCAGATTTAGTTGGGTCCGGTGTCACACACATTTAGTCCCAGCACTTAAGAGGCAGAGATAGGCAGATATCTATGAATTCAAGGTCAGCCTGGTCTACAAAGTAAGTTCCAGGACAGCCAGAGCTACAGAAAGAGACCCTGTCTCAAAATAAACAGCTGATAGATAGACAGATAAATAAATAAAATCATGGGCTAGAGAGATAGCTCAGAGGTTAATAGTGCCACTTTTTCAGAGACCAGGGTTGGATTCCCAGCACATATATATCAGCTCACAACTGTCTATAACTCCAGTTCCAAGGGACAATCTCTTCTGGTCTCTTTGGGCAACAGGCACACGTGACACTCAGACAAATACTCATATACATAAAATAAATAACCATTTAAAGAGCAGAATCATAAATTAAGCACAGAAAGGTATTAACTGTAATGGAACAATCATAAGAACAAATTGTTGTAAGATCTACACAAGTGTGGCTGACTCTTTCCCAGCGTGGTATCCTGCACGAACACGTGTATGACTCCAGATGACCCAGCGCCTGCTGGATGAGATGGAGCAGATGATACGGGCACCGTGACTCAGCATCAGGCCATTACTGACCCCGTCCCTGGGAAGTCATTCCTAGTGGCATGATTAGCTCTCACAATGTCCCTGGTTGTCCCTGCCACAGCGCCACATCTGTTGGCAGTCACTGAGCACCTATCTTAGTTACCCATTGCAGTACTGTGGGGCTTGCATTCAACAACTCCTCAGAACTGTGTGCAGATGAGACTTACATGTGAGTCCTGGAATTTGTCATTGGATGTTTTCGAACTCCAGTTGATTTCCGGTAACAGCACAGAGGGCAGACCTAAGCGGGGAGAGGAGATGCTGTGGTTATCATCCCCTGCATGATGACAAAGTGTTTTGTGTATCCTCTTTACAAATCATTGCATCCAACCTTCACTTTCTCCACCCTTTGGGGTAGGAAAACAGATGTCATCCTCACCATACAGGATGGCAGGAGATGAAGTAGGTTCCAAGGACTGAGGCAGGAAACTCACCATGTCTCTCCTCTTTCCTCCAACTACCCTCCCTACAGAATTCTCTCCAACCAATTCAGTTTCAGACTTGAAAAGAAATGGCCGCTCAGGCTGGGGATATAGCTCCATTGGTAGAATGCTCAGCAAGTGTGCACAAGCTCTGGATTTGATCTTCAGCATGGTGTAAGCCTGGTGTGCTGGTACGCCTGTGATCCCAGCTGTGCACTTGGGATATAAAGGCACAGGGAGCTTAGAAGTTCAATGTTACCCTTGCATTTATATAGTGAGTTCAAGGCAAGTAGCTTGGGCAACATGAAATTCTGTCTCAAAAAACCAAGAGGGGCCAGTGAGATGGCTCAATGGTTAAGGCACTTGCTGCCAAATGTGATGACCTGAGTTTGATCCCTGGAACCATAGAAGGAGAGAACTAACTCTTGAAAATTATCTTCTGAACTCTATGCACGTGCCATGGCCCATGCACAAGCGTAGCAATAAATAAATAAATGTTCAAAATAAAAGGATGGCCACTCAAAACCTACCAGAGTTGGGAAGGGAGGAGAAAAGACAGGAGAGGAGATAACTTGGATCTGAAGCTGAAGACCTACTGTGTCCCTAAAGCTGGTGAGACTTGATTGCAGATTTGACCAGGGACACAGGAGACCAGCAGGAGCAGCCAGGTTCCACCTACGAGATGGAGCCACAAACCTGAAAATGAAATGTCCTTCCCACTTACAAGCCCTTTACCTCAAACCACAGCTTTCAGATGACAACTGCCTTGGAAAGTCTGCAGAGCTGGCAGGGCTCTCGTCCCCTCTAGTGTGCCCGTGTCCAGAACAGGTCTCAGTCACAGGTGCTTCTCTGAGAGCATATTGTCTAAAGAATTAAGGTTTAGGGCCACTTGGTAGAAGAAAGGGCGCTGAACTTTACCCTGCTGCCAAGTTGCTTCTAAGTAAATAGTTTGGGGATTGTTCCGCTCAGTCGTCCAGTACCAGCGGCTCTGCCAGACAATACACCAATGAGCCTTCAGATGTGTAAGACCCCAGTGGGCTTAATATGATGTTAATAAGATGCTAAAGAACTCATCCTTTCTTGAGAGGGTTGGTCAGGTCCTTGCCTTTTGCAAAATGTCCAGGGCACCAGCTTGGTGTCAACTCAGAGGCAAACCCTGGCCGAGCATGTGTGGAGACCTGGGTTCAATACCCAGCACAACCCCAAACTCCACAATGACACAGAAAAGCTTAATAGTCATGCTTTAAATCCTTTGTTGAGGGGTCTGGAGAGATGGCGAGAAGGGTTAAAAACCCTAGCTGTTCTTCCAGAGGACCCAGGCTTTATTCCTAGCACCCGCGTGGTGGCTCATAACTCTGTAAGTCAAGTCCTAGGGGATCTGTTGCCCTCTTCTGGCCTCTTCAGGCACCAGGCACATGTGGCGCAGACATACATGCAGGCAAAACACTCAAACTCATAAAATAATTTTTGAAAATTCTCTTGGGGTGTGGTGGCTCATGCCCGTGAATCTCAGGACTCAGATGGCTGAGGCAGGGGGATTATTTTGTATCTGAGCCTAGCCTGGGCTATAGAATGACTCTGTCTCAAAAAGAAAAAACCAGATCTGTTGGTTGAATCATTCCTGGCCAGAAGGAGCAGGCTGCTGCAACAACGGATCCCTAGAGCCTCGCCTTTCCCTCTGGCCTGGAGAGCCCGCCCTGGAAAGGAATTCTCCACAGACCACATTTCTATTTTTGGGGACCACTCTGCTCTTTGCACATGGAAAAATGGAGAGTTGAGGTTTACATGGTCATTTTTTTTTTTTTTGTTACAGTAATGAAAGCTTTGAAATGATCACAAAAGGAAAATAGGAAAATATGCCTCCTAAAAAGAGCTGAGGCAAATTATTATAGCAACCGAATCCTAAAAGGAATTTTCAAGTAAAAAAATATGGCTCATGCGAAGTTGTTATGGCAACTGACATTTAAAAGTAACTGGATTTGGGCAAGTTTCTTTCTCCACCCTCTCTGCAAAGTCTTGCAGGAACTTCATGCTAAAATTATGCTTTAATTTTAATTAGCCAAATAGGTCATAAATATAGCTTATTCCCAAATCCTTAGAATTTCTACCCTGCAAGGAGCTGATCTACTAATGAGAAAATATTTCCACAAAAACCCACTTACCATTAAGAACTCCTATCCAATATTTTCCTAATATAATTTATCAATTTAAACACATTGCATAATGTGGCATTGTGTAGCATTCCATTAAAATGATAAATGGCAACGGGATGGGGGTGGGGGCGAAAACCAGGAGATTAAACATATCCAAAGCCGTGTAGCTATATTTAAATAACTCAAACCATTGTGGAGGAAAACACACTGTTCTCATCCTCAAATACAGCCAGACTCAGAGCAGCATATCCTTGACTGTAAGGGTATTAATAGGACAGAGGAAGGGGGGCAATAAGAAATGACAGGCAACTTCAGAAGAAATAAAATTTCTATTAGGCTTTGTTATAAGATTACATCAAAGCAGTTCATATGTTTTAATCTGGGGAGAGAAAAAGCAACTACTTGGGGTTTGCGCCTGGGGGCTGCCTCTGTGTACTGAACCAGACAGTTTGCATAATGAACAATTTTCATTCAATCAGGATCTCAGCAGAGATAGCTCCCACTCAAAGGAATCCGGCACAGGCTTGTAGTTTTTATCTCCCAGCTCCACCTGCTGGAGAAATAGCGTATTACAGGGAGAAAGAGGCAGCTGGGCAGCATTGTCCTAGCGGCTGTTCTAAATTCAGGTACCTAAAGTTACAGACCTGACTTTAAACAGCTCCTCCCGAGGCTGAAAAGGGCTCTGTAAGATATCAGAGTGGACTCCGGTCGCAGGAAAGGAAGGTCCTAAGGAATGGTGGCGAGGATCTCCATGACCTTCCGACTGCTTTCCTGAACCTGGGATTTTAGAAACTGCTATTTGCATACTGGGAAGACTTAAGTTGCTCCAAGGCAGTTTGTCCCCAGTGACTGGAAGACAAGGTCATTGTTTTAAAACACCAAATGCATTTCCTACTTGGCTGGTCAATTTTCAAGTTTCCCAGCGGTCTGAGGCTTTATAAAGTAAGAGAGAGGAGGAGGAGGAACACGAGGGTGGGGGGTCGGGGGGGGGGGGGGGGGAACTACTCAAACTGGAATTGCATTTTCATGCACAATGGCAAACTTAAAGGCTGAACCAATCGTTTTGGAAAACTGGCACAGATGACATTGGCTTGAGGAAGGAACGTCCAGGGTGAGCCAGCTGGGCCAGGACCCGGGGCTGAGGCCTAATCCGCCTTTATCCGAGGGTTTAGCACGGCTCCCGCCGCTCACCAATCCCGGCTGGAGCCGCAGAACAGCTCTGCTTCACCTGGCTCCGTCCCAGCACAGTCTCACGGATGCTCTCCCGAGGGGAGGCCGCGCTGGGAGGGGGAGCGACATCAAGCTTCGTGAAACTGTTTTCGAAAACCTGGGATGATCATTTAAATGTTTAAAATATGCACATGGTAATTCAAAACTAATTACCCTGAGCACATTTGAAACATTTATGCCATCATCTTGGATCCTGCCTACTGATTGTGCGCGGCAGTTCACTCTGGTGTTTCTATAAACTGCTTCAGCGATTTTAACTTCCAGGCTAAATCAGGCAGCCACGGGCGCTGCCTCCCGCCCCGGGTTGGAGGAGAGACCCCTTCCCTGACTTCCAGGCAAGGAGGCAGCCCCATTTCTCCAGAGAGCCATTTGTCAGGGTCTTGTAGTTCTGGCTGCCGAATCATGGCTCTTATTGCTGTTCATAATCGCCATCTCCATTATTTAATTTAGATTAAAATGACCTCTTTCCCTCCCGATTCTTACTTCCCTTGTTCCCATTTCCTCTTCCTCAACTCGTGGACCCCATTTTCCCCATTGGTTCATAAAAATGGAAAAGTACCCTTGATCGTCCCACCCCACTTGGTTACTTTTTCATCTGGGAGCCAATGTGGTGTGGTTTCTGGGTTTGCAAAGTGGCCATGTCCAGAGAGGTAGACCAACCTGAGCACACACACACAGCCGCCATCATTGGGAGAGCACGTGTTGTTGCAGCTCAGGCACACGCATGCACACACAGGCTGACATGTGCACATGCGCTTTATACAGCAAACCCTGCTTGCAGACTAATTAGGCCTAGGCAGTTCCTGAAGCAAATTCATTTTCCCCCTTTTCCAGAATAAAATGAGTTCTCTTCCTTTGGGGGTGCTAAACCAGCAAGCCAGTGGCTAGAAGCCTGAGATGGGTGATGTGGCTGAAATCATTTCAACTGCTCAAGTCTATGGGCAGAAGCTGACCTCGGGTTGGGGAACCAGCAGTCAGAAGAGGCACAATTCTGGGATCAAGAAATGAGTGCTGGTTTATAGGTACATTCCCGGAAACAGACAGATGAGGGCTGCCTCCTTGTTAGCGCTTTTAAGATGCCCACGGCGGGTTTTAGACATTTAGGAATATAAAAGTAGGTTGGATTCCCACAGTCAGCTGAAGTTTGACAGAGTGATATCACCAGGTTTAACTAGAGCCATTAAGAGGCTCTTCATTATCCCACACCACCGCCACCAAAGTTATCACATGAGCCATAATGCAAGAGAATTTTCATTCCATCAACAAGAGAGGGGGCCAGTCTATCTTTGTCCAAAGGAAATGAGCAGCTCAGCATGCAGCTTGTGAGGAATTGAGTGTACAACACTCCAATAACATCCCCTGCAGGATCTCCTCTGCGCTTTCGGTGGCTAAGCAGAGGCAACTTCACGGGAGCAATCTGCCGGGGTACCTGGCTTGCAAGAGCGCTAGCTCCCGGAGCAACCAAAAGGCCAGTTGACGACAGAGGACACTCACAGAGACCTGCATTCCCTAGGGCTTAAGTATTAAGCCCCAAAGAAATCAAGGTCTAGGCCATTCTCCTGGTGCTCAGCAATCTCATTTATTATTTCTCTACAAAGATCCACCACTCAATCTCGTCGGTATCACCTGTGCCTGATTCATATTCTCCCGCTCAGTCAGCTGGCCTGGTTTGAAATAGGTTTCTCTTCCCCTGCCGGTGCATGCTTTGCATCCTCATAATGACAGCTGGTAAATTGCAAGACCCCCTCCGCTGGACTCTTCCCACGCCACGTACTTACTCTCCTCGGAATGGCTTGTTCATCAAGTGTTCTGCTGGCGAGCCTTTTCCTCTTCGATTAAAGCTGAGAGAAAGGATCAAGTTTTCTATTTCCGCTGCACTTCTTGAAGCGTGCTCACAGGGGAGACACCCAGGTTAGATGGACTGATGGACCTGGTAGCTCTAGAGTTGGAGTTAGATGACCCAGCAACACCCCCCACCATGCACCAAGCAAAAAATTGCACCTACCCCTCCTGCAGACGTTCCTGGCATCTTATAACTCGCCCAAAGCCGGATTTATTGCTCCCGCTGTAAAGTGTATCTTCTCTAAGCCTCACTTAAAAGCTACCACTTGGCAGAAGATCAAGTTAGAAGTGCAGGTGATGGCGGGGACAGGGAGGGTTGGGGTGGGTAGGGTGGAGCAAATAATTGAAGCTCCGAGAGTTACCAGCTCAATATTTAACCTAACTGGTAATTTGCTGTGACAATTATACCACGGGCGGAACACGACTAACTATGCAAGAATGCTGCTCTCTAATTAAGAGGGCTCTCCTTGTTCTAGTCACCATCACTTTAATAACCCACGAAATGAGTCTTGGCTCTGGGAGCTAAAGGTTCCATTAGGAGCACACGCAGCATATGACTGTGCACGTAGGCTCTGATGCTGCCCAGTTAAGCCTGCTAACACCTTCAATTCGCCCTCAGATAGAGCCCAGAGAGCGCGGCTCAGGCCCTCACGCCATGAGCCCCATTTGACTGACAGGCATCTTCCCGGAAAGCCTGTTCGTGCCTATACTGCAAATGGACCTGCTTTTCCACAGCCGGGCTTTCAACCAGGATGGCTTGGCGTAGCTCTGATCCTTAGAGTAACTTAATAAGGATTTTTACAAAAGGCCACGGGAACAAACCTCCTGAAATTGAGACAGGGATGGGAACACAAGCCAACACCCCAACTGCTGGTCTAACTCTCGATACGAGACAAAAGAATACTACTATCTTGGCTATAAAGGAGTATGCTACCATCTTCTAAGTTCATGGGAGTCTTGACACGTGGCTACACTGGGCAAACCATGTTCTTTTTCTTTTCTTAATTAGCGGTTCCTTTATGGAAGGCTTGCTGCTTGGAGAGCCCATTAGAAGAAAGCTCGTTTATGGAGGTGTACCTTATAAACCTATTTAATTTTAAATAAATGGTGCAGGGGGCCCGTGGTAGAAGTGGTGATGGGAGCGAAAGCATCCCGACAGCAACTGCAGAAGGCTAGCCCTGCACCCCAGGCCTGCGTGCAGGGAGCTCAGCGTCCCCTAGGCAAGTCCTTGAGACTCCAAAATTTTAGGCCAATAGAAATGACCTCTGCACCACAGCTGACTGAAGATATAAATAAATCTCGACATGAGCAGCAGTGTCAATGGTGAGCGGGGATGAGAGTCCGATCGGAGCTTCATTTTTTAAAGTGGATTCTGGATCCACCTCAGGGCAGGGCATTCATGAGTACAGAGCCGCGGTTCCCTGCAGTGAGCGCTCCTGTTTTCACAGGCACCAGCCCATCGGTTACCTAACCACTGAAAGGAAGCTGCACCACACACAAGTTAAATATAGGCTGGGTTATCTGCATTTTACAAGCTCCAAGCGAGCTATCTGAAGAAGCTGTCATTTTTAATGATGGCACAAACTTCCAATTACCAACTGGGTAATCCACTAGGGAGCAGGTAGTTTTGGGAGAACGGCTCACAATTATTAAAAGTTTACACAATCACTTTTGAGTTGACTCTAAATATTTCACGAGGCGGGTGGGATTAGGTTTTTTGGGTGGTTTACTCAAGGCTGCAACAGATATGGTGTTTTCCGGAGATTTATCAACAGCTAAGGGGCAGTAGGGTCTCAAGGACACAGCTCTAAAGAGTCTGGCAATGCCAAAAGGGTAGGAAACGGCCAGGTGGTTGGATGATTCCAAGTCTCAAATATACTCCCAAAGTCAGCACCAAGACACAGCTCCAATGACAAGTCACCTAGGGCCTAGGGACAGTTAATACAAATAAGGACCACTTAGGCTACCCATGGACAAGCACTCTTTACACAGGGGCCATATACCTTCAACACCTTCTATCCAACATGGCATCTACACAGCTTCCTGTCAATAGCCAGTGCGGAGTGAGTTAGGTGTGGCACATGCTTTTCCATGTAGACGGACGGTCCGTGACCCAAATCAAGTCTGCAGCTTTTGTCTTAACCCCTTGCCCCCTCCCCTCCACCCCCCCCCCCCAAGTTCTTGCTGATGATCCCAGTCTCCAGGGACCTGGACATCTACTCAATTTGGACTCGACTGTGATGACCAGAGTCCTGCTCCAAACTGACCAGAGTTCTTGGGGACAAGGAATCTTGATTTAGCTGGGTATGATATGGCACATCTGTAATCTCCACACCGGGGAGGCAGAGGCCGGAAACCAGTCACAAGGCCAGGTAAGGCTACATAGCAAGAAGCTGTCTCAAAACCAAAAGCAGCTATCTTGATCCAAATAAATCCTCTCAGAGGGTGTGTACCTCAGCAGATGTGTGGCAGGCAGGTGTGAGGCCTTGGGTTTGATCCTTAGGATTCAGAACAGCAGGCAGGAGGCTGAAGGCGGTAATGAAGACACTGACACTCCCCTTTGCCCCATTACTTCATCAGAACCACCATCACAAATATAACTTGGAGATTTAAGAATCACTAATAGCTTTAAAGAATGAGGCTGATTTATAAAGCAGGTCAAATGCGTTCTTGGGAGGCCATTTCTCCCATAATGGCAGAAAATCCAGGTTAAGGCCTCTGTGACTGCAACCTATGTCCGAGAACTAAGTGGGATGAAATAAATCATGGAGGGCTCCAATGCCTCTTTCCCCATCCTCCTGCATTAATCTACCTGCTTCCAAGGATCTGCTCAAATTGCCCGCCCGCCAGCCTGTGACGGGGCACAGGCTTAGTCAGACTCACCAGAGCAACAGA